GGCATTGGCGAACATGAGTAAGCAGGAGATCGAATTTGCCTGGCTTCCAGGTGACGCCCCCGCCACACTTCACTTCAATCCAGTCTCCCCGCAGCTGCCCCATGGCTCAGCTCCCTGCCAGATCACAATGCAGTTCTCCATCTTCTTTGATGGCACGCGCAATCATGCGGATGAGGACAGGCCAAGTGGTTCACACAGCAACGTCACAAGGCTCTTCGACGTCTGCAGAATGAGGGAGCGCGAACAACAATTCCGCCTCTACATCCCCGGCGTCGGCACCCCATTCCCACCCATCGGCGAGCACGAACCCCACCCGATGGGCGCGCGCGAGGGGGCCTACGGCGACCGTCGTCTGCGCTACGCCTACCTGTACATCGGCAATCGTATCGCGGAGCTGAGCGGATATCCGTTGATCGTGGATGAAAACGAGCCGGCACTGATCCGCGCCATTGAAGACGAGAAACAGGTAAAGATCTGGACCACCACGCTGGCCAGTATTCTCGCTCGCCCCAAGCCCGCCGCACCTCACATTTCCAGCATCACGCTGGATCTGTTCGGATTCTCGCGAGGCGCCACCGCTGCACGTACGTTTCTCAATCAGCTCATCGAGTGGGCCGGCGACAACCAGCCCAAGATTTGTGGCATTCCGCTGCGGGTGCGTTTCATGGGCTTGTTCGACACCGTGGCATCGGTGCATGTGGCCGACTCGGTGCCCTTGCTGCCCGGTGATGGTCACCTGAAATGGGCCGAACCGCGCCACATGGGCATACCTGGGTTCGTCGAGCAGTGCGTGCACATGATTGCGGCACATGAGGCGCGAAACTCGTTTCCGCTCACCACCATCTGTGCACTGCAGAGTGAGTCGCCACAGCGGCTGGAGATCATCTACCCGGGCATGCATTCTGACGTGGGCGGTGGCTATGGCCCTATAACGCAGGGCAAAGGCACGAACCAGTCCGGCGCCATTCGCCAGCAGCAGCAGGACATGCTCTCGCAGATTCCGCTCAACGATATGTATCGCAGGGCGCTGGCAGCGGGCGTCCCGCTCATGGATGGAGCCGCACTGGCGCGCGCGAGAACTGCTGCCGACTTCGCCATTTCCCCCGAGCTCCAACGCGCGTTCGATGCACATCAAGCCCGCCTTGGCAGCTTCAAGGGCGGCGCCCCCTTGATGCGTCAGCTGCATCACCACTACCTCGACTACATCGGCTGGCGCCGCAGCGTGCTGCGCAGAAGCGATTACATCGCCCTGCCATTCGTGCGGCAGTGCAAGCCCGCCCTGCTGCAGGAACACATCAATCTTGACCAGTCCAACGTCGAGCTGCACCAGGATGTGGAGGCCTGCGAGGGCTTCGGTGGTACCGTCCGCAGCCTGGTCAGCCGCTGGTCCGGCGCCTACAGCTACGCCACGGGCTTTCCGCCCATGCGCGAGATGTACCAGCGCTACTGGAAGATCTCGCCCGATCCCGCCCCTGCGGTCCGCACGCTGCTGGAGGACCATATCCATGATTCACGGGCGGCCTTCGTGCTGACCGACCCGCAGTGCCAGCGTGACTACGACACGATGCACAAGCAGCTGGAGGAGAAGGATCGGCGTTAGAAGGAATCCCGACGCCGCTACGAGGAGCGCACGCTGCCGGAGTACCGGCGACGCATGGAGCGGAATCCCTCCCGCCATGAAGAAGAGCCTATCCCACCGGTCGACCCATTGGGTATTGAGGACAGGCGAGCGCTGAAGATCTTCCGCGACGGGGGCCAACCCATCTTCACCGATGCAAAACCAGCATCGGCCATGGATGGAAAGGCCGACGTCCTCGACGTCATCGCCAAGGTCACCCGCCGCGAGCCCCGCTGGAGCTACCTGCGTCGCCGCCAGGTATTCCGCATCACTTCCGGCACCACAGGCACTGTCAGGCCCTCTGGACCACTGGCGCAGCCTTCAGGGGGAAATCGACCCTTCTGGATCAGCCGGCGCCTCACGTACGCAGATGGCTTGTCATGAGCCGCTCTGTCTGGGCCCTCGGCTTCCTGCTGCTGACGCTGGTCTGGTCCGTACTGATGGTGCTCTACGCAACAGACCCGGCAGAGAGCGCCGGTGTTGCGGCGCTGGTACCGTGGCTGGCAGGTACGATCATGGCCGCTCTGGCGTGTACGGCGGGGCATGCGCTGCAGCAGGCGTTTGTGCCTCCGCCGCCACGCCCTTCCCCACAACCGCCCGCGCGGGCGCCTTCAAGCGTGGCCTCCGCACTCCACGTGCGTGCGTGTCACGCGTGGATTGCTGGCCGTCCTGTCGCGGAACTGGCATCCACGCTGGCCCTCGACCAGCACGCCACGCCCGCCGAGGCCACACATCGCAGCGTTGAC